ATAGACGCGAAAAGTACGCGATGTCGTCGACGACATACTCGACCCCAAAGAGTTAAAAGCATATAACTAAGATCGGTGGATCTCATGGGAATATGGTCGATTTCTGATCCGTTCACGTTAACGTGATCGAGGCCGATCGATCGGTGCGCCGATCGATCGGTGCACCCCTAATTTCAAGTGTAGAAGGTTTCTAAGGACAGTGCTGAATTACCCAGATTTCTCTTGCCCAAAAATGCTGCGATGTTGAAGTCCATACCGAGAGGCTAATGACCTTATCATGAATGGGCCCCCATGGATGTAATGGGACCAGGTTAGAGCATGACCCCTGCTGTGTTTTATCTTGGTCTGTCGTACCAAGGGCAGCCGGATGTGAAGGGCAGAATGCCTTTAAGGCTTATCCCAAGTGCAGGTCAAGACCTGAGGTTCAAGCTTCTATGGTTTGTTTAATCGAGAGGTCCCAGGAGGCAAGTGGTACTTCTCAGCCTTTGGGGGTGGAGCTTGTCATCCTTTGGGGGTAGTACTTTCCAGCCTTTGGGGGTGGGGCTTGACTTTCAACATATCAGTAAATCATTAAAAATAAATAATGTATGGTTCCCACCACTGGATTAAAAATGCATTACTCCAGCTTGAATGTTGATAGCAACTGACTACTCCATTAGGCGTTAAAAGGAGATTCCTTAGATCAGTGGTGGCCAATCTTATCCACAAAGGGCCGGTGTGTATGCAGGTTTTTGGGATAACCTGTAGGTCAGCTGTTCAAACCCAGGTGTGAGGACTCTTCCGCCAATCAGTCCTCCAATTAGTAATATAATTAGGGAGCTGCAGCGAAAACCCGCACACACAGCGGCCCTTTGCGGATAAGATTGGCCACCCCTGCCTTAGATCTTGCTGTTTGACCTGCAGAGTGGCTGCAGGAGATCTGTGTGTGACATCTGAAATGGAAACGCAGCCATTTGTAATTGACAGTTGGGGGAAAAGGGCACGAGTGCACCTCCATAGTTTTGGTGGCACCAGGCGTGGAAAATGGACACGGCATGATTGATGGCTGTCATCAGGCCTTGACGGGATCAAGCCATCAATACCAATTGATTGATGCAGCTCTTTAGCTTTTGGTGGGGGTGAATTGGGATCCTTCGGATCCTTGGGATCCATGTGCAGTGGCAGGGGTCAGATTGGGGCCTGAGGCCGTAGACGAGATGTTTCTGCTCCACTGATCTTTCTCAGGTTACACGCAGCTCCGAGGGCACTGGCCGGCGATCTCCAGGGCGCCAGCGTCGTGTACAGAATGGTCTTCGAAGAAATGGTCTAGCAGTGATGAGGGAGAAGAGAAATCCCTGGGAACCAGCAAACCATGCTGTTACCTTCCTGGCCTGTTCCCTATCGGGAGCGAAGCGTCTCCGTGTCTTTGTGAAAGCAGAACGCTGCCGATCATTCAACCTCAAAGTCCTTTGTCGGTGGTGAAGGAACTGAAACCGAAAGCGAGATTTAAGCCCCAGTGAACTTTGCCGACAGTGGGCCCCTGGAATGCAGTGGGCACCTGGAATGCAGTGGGCACCTGGAATGCACTGTCCTGCCAAGGAAAGGCAACGCCGTTTGTGACAGATGTTGGCGCCATTTGAGGCTACGTGTTGATTTACCTTTATTTTTAATGTAAAAAAAACTGGGTCATTCAGCATCATAGAGCAGCGGGCCAGAGCCCTGAAGAGTAATATTCTGCATCCAGGGTCGGGAAAAAAAAAAAAAAAAGTAATAGTATTTATGCACTGAGGAAGCTTTTTAAAATATTTGCCTTATACAATATTGCTCATAAATTTGCCTCATTAATTACTCATGCATATCTGTTTAAGCTCCAGCACCCGACCTTGTTCCCATGGTAATGTGCAATCGATGAAACGTCAATTTATTGTGTCGTCACAATATTCAGATACTTTTATAGCTTTTAGCAGCTTGCTGTGGGTTTCAGATGGTACTCGCTTATGCCGGCCCATACTTGGTGCAGTTTACTGTACACTATAATCTCGCTACAATTGCTGAAATTAGCCCGGCCGATTCATGACGCACTCAATAGCGCCTTGCGCTTCTGAGTGTGCGATCGACACGTTGGAGGTGCGTAATTCTGCCGTTTCCCTGCTGTGGGTATCTCCCGCTTCGCCTTTGCCGTTTGCTGGCGTTACTCATTTCTCACACTGACCTGTAGCAGACAGCATCTATCGTCGTTTATTTATTTTTTTTGTCCGCTGACTTTTAAGTTATTATTGTTATTATTAAATAATTAATGTTTTTGCGAGATAACAGAAGGGGATTTTCAGAACAGCTTAAACTGATTTATGAAAATGAACATTAATAGAAACCGTTGTCTGATCTGGAGAGTTAATTGCATCTCTGAGATGTAATAAGGTATCAAGAAAATAAGTGGCTGTGTGTGCAGGAAAGTAGATTTCCAGTAGGCTTTTAAAGTACATTTATTATGATGTCATGTATAGAAGAGTTCTGCTTGTAGCCCCGAATGCTCCATCAGGCTTGTCACTGCATTTGAAAGATGTCTTTTGTGAAAGTACTTCTCCAGAGCCTGCTCAATAACAGTTTGCTATCATCAGCTTCTTTTTGACATCCAAGAAGGGGACCTTCATCACCCCATCTGAAGGCTTTTTTAAATACTGATCTATGTTACATGTTGGTCCAACAGGACGTGGAAATGCACAGGGATATGACTTTTGTGGCCGGTGCTTCAGGGAACAGGCCAGTCAGAGTAAAACTCATCATCGGTCCTCCAGTTATGGGATCAGAGATGTATGGACTGCACCAAATGAAATAATAACCACACAACATCACCGATAGCACTTTACTTGAGGGGATGCGAATAATGTAGTAGCACACACTTACTTAATGCATTAATTAGCCATTAACTAAGTGCTAGTTCATCATTAATCAGTTACAATGGTTCATGTATTCCATGCTGGAACTATTAGTTAATTATTAATTAATTAGTTAACCAATAATTAGTTAACAAGTATGAGATCAGTACATAACTACCACTTTGTTACTGGTCTAGTGATACCTTAAGAAAGCGTGTATTACTACATTATTTGTGTCCCATCAAGTAAAGTGTGATCTCAAATAACCACCGATAACCCTTTACCTGAGGCGGCACAGATAATGTAGTATTAAGCTCATACTTATGTATTAATTAACCACAAATTAAGTCTTAGTTACATACTGATCTCATGTTCGATCCTCATTAATAAATCGTGACTCATCTTCGGTCTGAAGCAGTTACAATATTTGTTACTGTATTTGTTAATTCTGTAAACCTTTGTGAACTACTGAAGGAACAAGCAGTGAATAACACAAGTGAAATACCGATCTCACGTTTGTTTATCAGTAACGAATGCTGAAGCGTGTTTTATCTCAAGTAGCAGTATTTGTTCTTTGACTTGTACTTCAGTAGTAAGTATTTGTGCCCCGTCAGGTAAAGTGTTACCGCACCACCTGGGTACAGATCCTTTGTACCATGTGCTCCTTCTGAACCACCTGCCCTCCGGTTTGGGATCTGCGTCTTTGCCAGTGCCGAGGTGGCTCACCAATCCGATCAAGGGTGCCATGGAGCCGTACGTGTAATTTGAACCACCAGGAACGTATCGATTATCCAAGCCCCCCTATGCTCACGTATATCCTGTTGATTTTAATGACTCCTTATTGCTTCAGCATCCTGTCACTTCCCCGTGCCAAACACTCCTCCTGGCCCGCATTACCATAAAGGGATAATTGCCTTTGAGTAACTGTGAGAGGGTTTTGCAGGGGATAAAATTAATCCGAGGCTTCAGGGTGTTCACGTCCTTTGTAGACTCCGTCGCATCGCAAATACCTCGGCTGGCCTGTTTCTCGTTTTTTGACCTCTAGACAGTGAGGTTTAATTAAGAATTTTGAAAAGATGTCAGAATTAAAAAGGAAAGTCACAAAAGGACTGCTGACTAAAACAACTCGTCAAATACTTTAACAGTCGACGGCCAGAAGGCATGAAAACCAAAGTGGGTTAAAGCTCTGCGTCATTTCCCCGCTATTTGTTCTGTCATGTTTTTAATGTGATGTCTTGGATGTGTTCTTATTGTCTGCAACTTGAAGCATTTTTCTGTTTCTGATCTGACGACACATGTGGGGGGGGGGGGGGTGCTCACAGACTGCAGTCAAGCTGTCAGATTCTGAGCAGAGCTCGGTTTTAGGAAGATTACGCAAGCAATCAGCGCCGGCTTGGCTGCGGCGCAAAGCAGTGATCTGCACTGCAAATGCAGTGTCTCCTTAGAAAACTGCATCCAATCAGGGGAAACGGTCCACTGTGGCCCTTCTTATGCCGACAGCAACAGTGGCTGGTTTTTTAGGACAGGGATTTCACTCTAGAGCACTGTTTCCCAGTCCGATCCTTGGGATCCACAGACAGTCCACGTATCTTGGAGCTGGGAGGAAGCAAAAATGTGAACTGCCTAATAGGGAGCATGGAAGGAGCAAAAACATGGACCGACTGTGGGTTTCAGAGGACCGGATTGGGAAACAGTGCTCTAAAACCACAGGCTTTTCCTGCTCAGTTCTGCTTATTCTCAAAGACCCAGATCTGTGTGTGTTTTCAAATGAAAGCAGAAAGCAGTAAAGTAGATTTGTGAATGAGACGTTGCAGAAACCTTGCTGTAATATTGCAGTATCTGTGCTGAGACGTGGGTGTAACGTCGATGTGAGACGGCATTCTGAGGCTTGATGTTTAGATGCAGAATGCTGATGCCACCAAACCAGCACGCTGTCGCTTATTAGAGCCAAACCAGTGGGCTGGTTACAGAAGGGGATGTTCCCGAAAGGATACTTTTACACTTTATATTCTATCTCAGACGCTACCGGTCGAATTTACCCATTACTTAATTTGTTTCCTTTTTCCGAGGCTTGTTTACGACGGTTTTGCAGCAGCGCCGGTCACGGCACAAGACCGAAGTCGGTGTGCATGTGTGTGCTTGTTGTGAGTGTGTGCTTGTTGTGCGTGTGTGTGCTTGTTGTGAGTGTGCGTGCTTGTGCGTGTGTGTGCTTGTTGTGCGAGTGTGTGCCAGTATGTGTTTCGAGGGACCCTGTCCTGTCCTAGGCCTGGCTCCAGGTACATCACTGCAGATCTGGTTTAAGCAGCTTCTCTACAGGGCTCTGCAAAAACAGGCCTTCCTCTCCTGTTCTTAGTCTTTGCTGTTAAATTATTTACACTGCAGGCCCCGGTGGCCATAGACCCCTATGATGACAACACATCTAGCTTCCGGAAGCTGCTTGGGATGGATCGAGTGTGACGTGACGTCATTCTTCCTCCCGGACAGTTTACTCAGTCCAATAATTGCCTGAGGGTGAACCAAACGGTCCGGTGTGATTAATTTATTTCTTTATTTTGCGTGATTTCCCCAGCTGTACAGCGCCGGCTCCCGAATGGTGCTGGTGACTGAGCCCCGACCCAGCCAGCCGCGGGGGCCGGGACTCCGCTGATAGGGCCCATGCACTATGCTTACTCATCCTTCTCGCGGAGGTTTTAATTTCCTCCAAGAAGCACAGTTCTGGACGTACTGTCCTCAGCGTAAAGGGTTTAATTACGCTCAATGCAGCCATTTAAAAGCTTAATGTAACCTGGATACAGGCATCCACTGGAAAGTGCTGTTTTGGGCAGGAAAAGCTTAGAGACAGGAGTAGAAAGGCTCTAGCAGTCTGTCACCCCTGCTTTTCAGCAGTGCGTTAAAAGCTCGTTTGGAATCCACCTATGTGACCTTTGCCCTGCTTCTGAGGTGTAAATATTGTGCTTTGATCAGAGTGAGACAAAAGGGAAGAGCTTCATTTCCCAGAATGCCTGCTTCTCTGTTTAATTAAAGTGCAATTTTTGAAACAAGAAATCTTGGTCACACTTTACTTGAGGGGACATGAATGATTTTGTAGTACACACTTAATGCATTAATTAATTAATTAAAAGTCATTAATCAATCATGACAGTTCATGTATTTTATGGGGAAACCTATATTAGTTTATGATTTGTTCTTGAGTAGTAAATGAGTTCATTTTTGCCCCCTCAAGTGAAGTCTTACCATTATTAACTAATTAGTTAACTGTTAACTAATATAGTGCCTGAATGGAATACAGGAACTGTGTGTGTGATGATTGATTAATGATGAATGAACATGGGATCAGTACGTAACTAACACTAATTACTGGTCAATTAATGCATTAAGTAAGTGTCTACTACTGCATCAATCATGTCCCCTCAAGTGAGGCGTGAACGAGAAAATCTTTACCTCTACAGAAGTATTTCCAAGAATTATGACCATAAGCTCTTATTTTCAGCCTTTGATTAAATCACCTCATGCTGATATATGACTGGATTATAGGGCTTAGCACATAGTTTTATGTAAGGAAGTTTCTCCTCGGAAATTTCTGTGGTTGCACATCTTACTACGACATTCTCCGAAGGTGGACGAGAGCACCGCCAATCCCAAGGCGCCTACTTAAATGCCCCAGTAAATTTGAGCGTGTATCCTGCAGTGTCCAATCACAGACTCCCTTGTTAGCCTTTCTGGTATGGAGAGGCATTGACGCAGAAGGGAGCTTGACGCCAATGCCGGGTTTCCTTCACTTTTACTGCGGGACGTAGATGTAAATAGTGGCTGTCAGTCGGCCTTGTTGGCTATTACTCACCCGTCCTGGTGTCAGTGTCTGAATATGAGCACAGTGCTGCACCTCAGGAGTTATGCAGAGCTCTAGCTCTGAAAAGAAGATTGCCAGCGCTGTCAAAGTCGCTTACATAACCAGCAGTGAAGAGAGCTTGGGTAATTGGTGAGGCCTGAGCAAGCACTGAGCGCTGGCTTTAACTTCTCAGCAGACCCAGGCCAGGGAAAAGCTCACTTCGTCCCTGGCTGGGTCTTCCCCGGTGCTGCAGAGGGTGAGAGCGAACTTGAGGAAGTAAAACAAAGGACAGTAGCGGGAGAGAGTGCCTTTCCAGTGGGCGGTTAGTGCTAGAGAGCAGAAGAAATTCAGAGGTGATGCCGGTTCCTAGTCAGTGAGTCCAAAGCAGAGGAGTCTGGCGAATGGGGTGGGGGCCCACGCAGCAAGGAGACGTTTTAAGGTTTTGTGCTGCTGTTAAATGAAACCGCTTTGTCCTTTCGCTTGTGGGAATCGTTTGTACTTCAGCTGCCAGCCTGGAAACACTTCAATCCAAGTCCAGTTCAGGGACGGTGAAGCATGTGGTCTAGGTCTCTGCACTGTCGACTGAGAATTCACCAGCCGTCATCTCTAATGCTGCATTGTGCAGGGCCGATTCAGCTACACACGCTTTGCTTATGTGTCTGCATGTATGGAGTATGCTGTATGTTTAAAAATCTCTATATTATACAGCAGAACATCAGTAGATTATACCTGTAGCACATCATAAGCATTCTTTTTCTTGTGATTATAGGGCATTATCAGATTATAGCCTTGTGCTCACAGGGAATGAGGCAGGATACCATTATCCACTAATTTTAATTACCTGCTATGCACCATGGTTAGATACTTTCTCCCAGTGCACCTCCCTAAATCCCCTAAATGTGCTTTACTGTTACGCTGTGCATTATAAAGGTCTGTCAGTCAGAGCAGAGAATGGCAGAAGAATCGAAGGATAAAAGCGGAAATCATATTTGCTACTCTGAGCACAAGGACTAGCTGATTGGCTCTTTAAAGATGCTAATGATCTATAGACGATTCTCTCTTAACAAAGGCGTCATTCAGCTTTGCAGTGATTATTAATGTTATATTCTAATGTATCTGCTGGGCCTCACTGGCTCTCACAATCAGTCTTGATTATCCTTAATTCCCTTGCCATTTCCTAACTGTTATCTTTCTTCAAGGACGTTACTGATTCATGAAATGAAAATTCCCAATGCAAACAAATAAATTTGGCTCAGGTGAGCTGTGTTTGGTTACACTATGACAGTGGTAGCTTTGTTTACAATGTTAAGTGGCTTCTGTGCACTGAAAATGAGAACAATTTCTTGTGTCAAGTCTAATTCTAGGACTAACTATCTTTTTCTTTTTTCCCACCCAAATAAATAATCCTAGATGTACTATAATATTTTCTCAAATTAGTAATGGCTACAGAGGACTTGTGTTTGGTAGGAATGGTTCCTCCACTGCTTCACTGCCAGTGTGTTTAAGGTTTTTGTCGGGGTTGCTAAGGTGCGGTTTGCCGCAGGCCTGCGCTGGTGCTGACGCCGTGCCCTTTGCTGCTTTAGGGTCCTGCTGGAGCGGTGGAGCCCCCGGTGGCCGGGATGGCGATCTCGCTGCGAGCGGCTGAGCGGCCCAGCTTTGTGCAGGAGCACTTCCAGGCCCAGTACAAGTAAGACCAGAACCACCTCCGCAGGGCACTGTAGCAGTTTGTGCTTTATTCGCTTTGTGGGCTCTAAGTGAGAAACGCTATGCTGCTTTATTCTGTTTATTTTTAAATAATGTCCTTCCCGAAATAGTTTCCCCAAAGCACCAAACAAAAGATCTAGTGGAAAAATTAAAGGTTGAAACCAACACGCACACACACACAAGCACACACACACACACGCATGCACACACACACACATACACAAACACAGGTTTGTAATTATATCTTTATGGGGACTCTCCATTCATTTTCAATTGGGAAATCCCTAATCCCAACAATGACAACCTTAACCCCTACCCAGCCTTAACCGTAACTATAAGTAACCAAACAAAATACAAGTTGTTTGCCGTTGTGGGGATCAAAATGGTGGTCCCCACAATGTCAAAATTACACGTTCTTATCATATTCTGGGGACATTTGGTCCCCACAACATAATATATATATGACCCACACACACACACATATACCAGCAAGTTATTCCTACAATAGCTTTACAAAGGGGAGAGGATGTGTTATCTACCCGAAACGAGGCGAGTGTGCCCTCAGCTTGGGCCTCCTCTGGCTCGGACATGCCCTGCTTTTGCTCTGAGCCCAGTAGCCGGCATTAAACCCTCCCCCTTTCAGGAGATCTATGGTTACTCGCCAAACTCTTTGCTGTGAGAAAAAAATACCGTCTAAAGATAAACAAACCATTTACCTCTTACATTAGGTGGGCCAGAAGTGATCCATTTTCCTCGATTCCACATATATAAAGTTCCCCCGCGGTAGTTATGGATTTTGCCGGTGATGTAGGATTTCCCATCAGCCCCTGGGGCTGGTAAATGGGACACTAGATGTGTCTTGTTCCCGCTTATAATTACTTGTTAAATAATCACAGGCACTGGAGGAAACAAACATATTTTCTTCCGTATTTTCTCGAGTCTTGCATCATTGATTGCAAACATCATTCCTTTCTCCTCGCCCCTCTCCAGAGGTGTAAGGACAATGTGACACTGTGTGTCTGCTACTTACCCCTCAGTGTGTTCGGTTGCGTAACTTTTTTGCTGGTTAGGGTTCCTAATTTAGAACAGCCAAAATTGGCAGGTTGTTTTCTTCTCTGTTGCCCCTTCAAGTTATTTTAATATCCTCTTCTGTTTGCTTGGATGACAGTTTCAGGTTCTATATGTACTTTATGTAATATGGAAGTGACTGTTCCTTTTGTGGAAAATTTATAAATTGAAAGAATAGAGAATAGTCTACTTATTTCATTCCAGTTGCCATGGTAATTATCATTCGGATACATTAAAAATGACAAGGCCTGACGGAAAATAAACTTGAGACTTACTTTCACGTCAATAGCCGCTAACTGCTTGAAGCGCACCGTGTCTGTACGTTAGGAGGCAACAGACTAAAAGCCGACGTGGTCCCAAGGAAGAATGTGGGGAGAAGGTATCTAGTGGCAGATCGGCACCTGGACCATCATCACCGCGATGACTAATGACGTTCTAATCCCCAAAACTGTTATGGTCATCGCCACCGCTATAATTAGCATTAGCGTCATCGCGGCCATAACGGTGTAATTTCCGTCTTTGTCACTGATAGCAACATCATCATTATGTCACATTATCATTATCGGTGATGTTTGTCAACAAACCAGTTTTTGTCTGTACTCTCCCAAAGCCAATTAACTTAATACCTTGAGTCAGTATAGGAGCACAGAATGAACAACAGCTCTCATAGAATCAGCGAAGTAAAGTCTGAGGATGTCACTAGTAAATTCTGCTTTATATACTGTGCTCACAGAAAGTCTTGGGACACTTGTTTAATTCAGTAAGAATACTGCAAATATATCGGTTCCATAATAAAATCATGATCTTATTTTTTTGTACACTAATATATATATATATATATATTATGCACGAAGAGGACTAAGTCCAAATTGTGTTCATTGGGCTCCTGTTTCCTGTCCGCAACAATTTTTTTTTCTGTGCTCAAGTTCCGCCTAGTATGACTTCTGGTCACTTATCCCACCGCGCAGCAGCGTAGCGTGCGTACTCCCAGCATCCTAGCTCTTTGTACTTGCATATACCCTTGAAATGATGTTGAATAACGACTTGCGAACATTTCAAGTTACGAACGGCCGTTCGGAACTCAATTCATTCGTAAGTAGAGGTGTGTCTGTATGTATTTATAATTTCAAGTAGTAATAAATTGAAACCTAAATTATGACTCTAAAAGAGCTGCTCAGAGTTCATTGACAGTTCATTGACAAACAGTCTCATTGGGAGCTTTTTAATTAGTAACACCTTTTACGGTAACATAAAACACCAAACATTCGTGTTTAATATCCCTTTGGGAGCCAGTGACTACAACTGCTATTAATAGCAAAATGTATTAAGTATGACACTTAATACAAACGGAAATGTCTTTGCGTAATATATGTGCAGATGTGTTAAACATTGCTTGGACATTTGTTTCAAACCAATACATTTGCAACATTTTTCAGAATTAAGTCCCAAGGTTTTCTGTGAGCACTGTATATGTAGGTTCACTTTTAGCTAACAGATATAATGTACCAATGAATGCCAGTATCTCATTGTTTAGTGTAAATGTTAGGATCCTATAATTGCAAGGTCTCAGTGAGCCTGAGTTTGTCCCGGAGCAAAACCTCGTATAAACTCTCATTCTGGGCTTATTCATCATGTAAACATATGAGAGTCTCTCTGGCGTCAAGTGATTCCCAAAAAAAACAACTTTCTATGTCCATTCATCTGCTAGGTGCCTCGTATTCAGCGGCATTTGCCTTACAGGTAACTGACGTTATAACTATGGCCATTTGAAGCCTTGCGCTTATTTTGTAGCTAGGGTACTCAGTTTTAATTTAATAAATCACATTTTATTAAGCATGGACAGACCTTCCTGTGTTTTCAGTGAGAGAGAGCATGTATCTTTCTGTCTTCTTTCTTCACATATACTTTTAAACAAATTATGTACCGTGAGTCAGGTTCTAGTGGGTTTCGAAATATCTGCTTGCTTTCCTCACAGAGGCTGATTCCATCCTAACAAGCTTCTTGCCGCCCTGATCATTGTCCTACTGCTGTATTTTCCTGTGAGATGCAGCCCAAATGGGAGGAGTGTGAAGGAGACAGTCTGTAGCACAGATGCTTCGTGGGCTCGTTCCGTGTGTCCATGCTGGGCCGCGATACAGACTGAAAGAGGAATTACGCGGGATGTTCCAGAACGTTCCGCAGTAACCATAGCGCTAGGCTCCCCTGAAAGGCCGCTCTGTTGTTTTTAAATGTTATTTGGAGCCAAGCTGCTGAGCCAGAGGGACTGCTGATTGGAGTTGGCGGTAAAACCCGGCGCTCTGTCAGGTTTCCATCGTGGCGCCCCCTGCTGGATACGTCTGGAGGTGCGCCAGGTGACATTTTATGGAGGCAGACAGACGTAATTAGTGCTTAGCAGGGGCAGCACCCACCCAATCCCAGACTGGTGTTTCAGACTCTTCTCTGTCTGACTTCAGTGGTTCAGTCAGCACGCATTTGGTGGCCTTTTCTCCATATCGGGGAACAGGCCCTTCTTCTGTTTTACGCTTTTGGCTGAACTATAACTTCAGGTTCTTTGTCTTTGCCAAGAGAAATATTGACTGTTTCCTGATCAAGCAGCTACTATAAGGTTATATCTCATTATGCTTTGTTATATGGCGCTGGTGGCTAATTCAGGGTTACAGAGATGTGAGCCCGTGACGGCGACGATGACTGCATCACGTCGTGATTCACTGTGCTTGCTTATGAGACACGATGAGCTGATGTGGCGATGGGGGCCTGACAGTATGCTATTTCAGATTATTACTGGAAAACGGGTCCTGGAAAAGAGCCTGTTCAGTGACGGCTGTAGAGCAGAATGTCCAGGCAGCAGGATCAGGTTCTTGGGGTAAAAACTCCAGTCCCCAGCTAAGGAGACCATTTCAGCTGTTCACTTGACGCCTCATCCGTTTACCTGCACCTTCTGGGTATCTGGCTTGTTTACTTAAATTCTTCTCCACTTCTGGATAGCAATTACTTTTATTTGTTCTTATTTTTTCCTGGCTCATGTCTTCTGGGCAGACACAGCCTTTGATCCAAGCACGGCTCCACCTGAGCTGTTATTCCGAGCTCCAGTGGAGACTTTCACGTTGCCAGCAGAGGAAGCGGCTCTGCAGGTCCCAAACTGGCTAATCCACCCCACGCAAACCCGTTCCTACCTCACAGTGACTAAGGAGCTTTGTGGAATCATGCCTAAACAGCTGGCCCCCTTGGACGTTGAAGACACATAGCTGAGTCCTCAGCTGTCCGTCAATCAGGCAAATGAATCAGACCTCGTCGCTTCATCATCAGAGGAGAATGGAAGATGAAACACTGTGATTGAGGCGATTCTCAAGACCCATTAGGTGGCAAGCAAGTGAACTTCTGGCTTTCTTCTGGGCTGTTTTTGGGATGGTGAGACACAGGGAAGTTCTCCGTGGTGCAGCTCAAAATGTGTTTCAGACACATGGAAAAAATCAGACAGCTGGGCTATTTCTTCTCATTAAAACACTGTAGGTCAGGGGTTCCAAACTACTGATGCTGTGTGTGGGGGTTTGCTTAATTTCCCAAAATAAGCTGTACATTTTCAGGCATCTTTCATGGCCCCGGATGTTTGTGCATGCTGATTGCATCTGGAAAAAAATAAAAGCTTCCTGGCTAAATCTGGCTCATCACTCAATCTGAACCCCCTCCCAGTTGATGAATTTTACCGCCCCATGAAGATTGTGCCATTCGCAGTCGTCAGAAGTCTGGAAGCCCGTAGCCTAAGATGAGAACATCTTTTTTTTTCTCCAGTGACTGAGTTAGGTTTGTGTGATTATGAATCATGTAAATGGACCGTTTGGTTTCCTTTCTGCTTGAGCAGGCGGCGTGGATCAGTAGATGGATTCTGGCAGCCTCTTTCCTGCAACTCTTGTTTACAGCAGACAAAGTGAGAATGCAGTGTGGTGTGAACACACCAGGATGAATCCTAAGTGTCTGGCCTGAGGTGGTCATAGAGGGACAGGAGTCTCTTGCTGTCATTCATGGGGAATTCTTCCTGTCAAGTCCCCCTCACAGAGAGATTTCTATCGACATTTATTTTTATTTTTTCTTGTTTGTCTTTTTCTGGAGTCGCGTGTCTGTTGGCTAGACAAAGGCTACATCACAAAACCGCTGTTTGTGCCGCCCTCCCTCGCTACCTTTCCTGCACCCCAGAAGGTTTTCCGATTTCTTGATGCTGAAGTGCTGTTCCATTACCTTAGTCATTGAGGGCCGCTTTTCGCTCAAATCACCCCTTCGCCAGGCGCATATGGAAGCCTAGCCAAGACTACCCTTGGTGACACCTATGCACGACGTAGCAGAAAAACTTCTACATCAGTGATGACTTCTACATACAGGCGGAGCACGGTAAGTCATCGAGGATGAAAGTGTGTCCCGATACCGCTTTATTGTCACTCTACCTTCCTCACTCACTCATTCCTTCGCTCGTTAGCTTCATGAACTTTCAACTTCAGACAGTGAGTCGTCAAGGAAGGTGGCGAGGGAGCCGTCAAACGACGGTTTTGGAATGTAGCCTAAGCATTCGAAGGACTGCCGCCTTTGAACACGTGTAACATGAGACAATTCAGTGTTAAGCAATTCAGTGTCTATGAAACCGGCAAGTGAAGAGCAGAGTGAACATGGTCCTTGGCTCTCTGCCCTCATGCTCCCGGTTCTATCTCCTCAGGTCCTGCCTCACATGCCCTCACTGCCTTAAACAGAGCAACACCTTTGACCCCTTCCTCTGCATATCCCTGCCAATCCCTCTGCAGCAGACCAGGTACGTACAGTCAGCGCACATCTTACGTAGGCTTTCATAGTGCGGTTTTGAATGATCGCCGGTTTATATACATGAAATGAATTTATAAAGAAACCAGTTTGAAACTGGCATGCAGACTGCATGAGCATGGATTGAGCGTGGTGTGTGTTAGCACGCTTGAGCGTTCAAACATCCACTGGCCGGCACCAGAATCGTTGTCTAGCACTGGTTGTTGGCAGATCTGCACTCCCTACTTGTGTACTGTACTATAGTATTTGCTATAGAGAAAATTGTAACATTGTAACAGCTACTGTACTGTTTTTAAATAGAATTTACATTGTATAGGTACAGTTCTATAATCTAGGCATTATTTAAAGGATACATCAGGTTGGGGGTTAAGTTTGTATGCAAAGTAAATAGACACTTCTATATCAGTGTCCTGAACGTCATCTCATGCACGGATCTAGAATGCTGGAGTATTGCTGTGGGTTGTGGAAGATTCTGGAGCACCGTACTCCTGTACTCTATGGAGAGCTGCAGTTACAGCACCACAGTTAAGGTATCGAATGTTAGAGTAGGAGGGTAATTAAATGAAGACTACAGCGCAGCGACTGGAGTTACTGTGTACAAGTGTAATGCTGCGTCAGCCAGGTAGGTGGAGCTCCTATTCTGAGCGGGTGCAGATAGTGGTGTGGGTTAAATTGGCAGTTCATCACCGAGCTCTTCCAAGGGGCAGCATGAGGTCCTCCATTCGATGGCAGTGGTCCAGCGTCCAGTGAGGGGAAAACCCCAGAGCCCCAGCAGACAGTGTGAAGCTGGGGGACGTTTATACCCCGATCACGTAGCACGTTCTCTCATCACAGCTGGAGCACCACTGAGGAGATCCTGACCCCTCGGTTGCCCCATTCTCCGTAGGTGTTTTTTTGCCCTTGTATGGGCATCAGATCTCCGGGTTCCCTAAAGCGCCGTCCGGAATGCTGAGACAGTAAGGCTTTAAATGAGTCCTATTCATAAGTCAAGACTAGCGAACGACAAAGAGACAAAGAAGCATTCCTGTTGCTGACAGGAGAATAAAGAAAGGTCTCCTTATTTAAGGCAGTTAAGGACACATAGATCACAAATGTGCTTCAAGTTTATTCACTTTAAATACTGTTTTTAAGACTAGAACAGATGTTACCCTCCTAGCATTTGAGCCATGAATCATGTGATCACAGGACTCGCACCTTATTCGTCACGCTACTTCCAGTCATGTACCTCAGGTTTGGTAGCCCCAGGCCTCAGAGAGCTTAGAAATACATTTTAATTAGCACCTCGCGCTACATCTGTGGATCCGTGCATGTTGAGGACTCCTGTTGACAGGCAAGTTGCATGTTTCTGCATCCCTGTGTTGGAGAGACCTTTTCCCCCCGCCCGTCTGAGGTGCTGGAGCGATCCTGGTCTCCACCCCATGCAGCTGACAGATTGAGTTATGCGCCCCCCCCCCGGCAGAAAGCCACTCGATTACTGTCATGGGCGGCTGAATCACTGAAGTAGCAGTGGTGTTACAGGTTTAAACATGGCCGGACTATGGAGCAGCCCAGCTCTCAGGCTGAGAGGGAGTGAAAAGGTAGATCGGCTGTGGGTCCCCAGGGACCGCATTGGGAAACACGGCGTTAGAGCACTATTGGCTGTGAGTCACAACATTTATAGTGCAAAACACTTTGACCCTCATATATGACACAAGCTGACCACCTAGACCCTTTGAATATACAGCAAGTGATGACCACAAGGGCCCTTTGACATACACAGCACAAGTCACCCATCAGGCCCTCAGGCCTGTCAGCGTACATGGTGTGAGGATCTAGACCCTTTATGCCGTATGTGCGCTGTACACACATGCCCCCCCCCCCCCCCCCCCCCCGGCAAGACACTGGAGAGGGTTGGTTGGGATGTCTGCTGGCCCTGAGCCTAGCCCTCCCTATGCCCCCCCGGTGACCAGGGGGGGCCTAAAAGGCAGGTGCCCAGGGGCCATACACGACCTTGACTGGCCCTGGGTCTGAGTGAATCGAGAGAGACACCGTGGCAACAACAACGTTCGTCATCAAGACACCGTCAGGGCAACTTATCCACCTAATGCTGCGCGCTTAGAGGAAGCTTTTAAACAAGAACCTTGATATTTACAATTCGGGTTAAGTGCTGCGCTCAAGGGTGCAACTGCAGCTCGTCAGAGTGTATAAGTGGCTTTTAACAATGTGACATCTGAGGTAATGAGGGTTAGGACGCTTCTGTGTGATAGGATCGGTCGTTCGAAAACAAAGTGGGCCATTAATATGAATCAGGAATGCCTGCATCGGTGGACACAGCCCAGTGAGCCGCGACCTGGACCCTTAGTCTGTTGACGGAGGGGACTGTGAAGGTGTGAGGTTCTGTGCTCCCTGGTGCTGAGCAGTTTAACCGAGCCGGAGCCGTAACCTGGGAAACATACCGATTATCATCGCGACTGAACAGCCCTGCAGTGAAAACGAGAGACTGTCTGGCTGCGGTTTGCTTCCCGTAATGCTGCCTTGGTTCAAACAATCTGTAAAAGATTGTAATTAATATGGCCTGTTACCTTGGTTCATCCAAAAAAATGTACTACTTATATTTTATGTGTTGAGATATATTTCCACAGAACCCATTCAAGTTAAGAAATTTGCTCAAGGGTGTGATTGCAGAATATCTCCTGAGATGAGAGTTGGTCACAGTTCCAAAAAAGAGGGAATATCATCTTTGCTGCTGGACCGAGAGGGATCTGGGGCGGGGGGAGGGGGGGTAAGGGGCGTCGGTCGTGACTGATTTACTCCAGTAAGCCGTCTGTGCTTCTGCCTGACTCGGTCAGTGGTGTAGTGGTATGGCACCTATATCCATGACCAATGAATTTCTCATGTCCCAGTTTCTCCCAAAAATCCAGTAAACCTTGGCATCTGGGTTTGTGTGGCCACAGAGACCGACGTGCGGTATAATGACAGTGTGTAAACCAGTGTTTTTCCAACCCAGTCCTAGGGGATCCTCAGACAATCCACGTTTTTGTTCTCTGCCAGCTCTCAACACACCAGTACCAGGTTTTTGGTGTTTCTTATTGGCTGGGAGCTGGAAGGGAGCAAAAATGTGGCCTGTCTGAGGGTCCCCAAGGACTGGGTTGGGAAACTCTGGTGCAGACTGGTTTTAGTTTCCATCATCGTCAGAAATAATACACGCCATTTGAAAACTAATGTTATGCACAGATTTCCTTATGCATCTCACTGTCCACAGGCCTCTGTACATCACGCTGGTCTTCAGCACCAAGGCCCAGCGATTCTTGCGGGTCGGCCTGGAAGTGCCGCTATCAGGCCCAATTGCTTGCCTGCGCAGGATGGTAGCTGATGAGGGCAAGCTCTCCCCAGACCAGGTAGGAGAGGTCCCGACGTAAGAGCCCAGTGTTGCTGCCCCCTGGTGGCCAGAGATTTTCTGCCGCTTTGAATTGCTCCAGCATGAAGGACTGAATCTGATTAAGGCCAATGAGAAACTGGCCCCCTTTTCCCAGAACACAAAGTATCCGCTGTAACATTGATGACATGAGTCATTTCAGCAAAGCTACCAGTGTTTTGATGCATGTGCCAAATTATTGCTATTGTGATGCTGCAGAAGCAGGTTGTGTCCTGTTGTGTAATGACAGGATTGTGTTCTGATGGTGCCCCCCCCCCCCCCCCCCCACAGATAATCCTCACAGAGGTTTACTCCACGGGGTTCCACCGCTCCTTTTTCGACGACGAGGATTTGACCAACGTCGTAGAGACCGATATCATTTACGCCTTTCAGGCTCCCCCCCTTTATTGGAAAGGGGGGCTCTTGCAGTTCTCAGGTAATCCTAGCAGCTCATCCAAGCTCTTTCCACTTTTAATTTTTGACAATAGGTTCTGGGACGGTGGTACCACGGTTCTTAACCAGGACTGACCTTCAGTAGTCATTGGCATCAAGTTCAGTTCCATGCTCATGTTTGATGGACGGTGTGTCTCTGATCAGAAGGTTGCTGGTTCAAATCCTGTAGTTGGCTGATTGGGAATCAGGACGGGATGACCCTCATTTCTCAACTGTATATCACTCCGGATAAAAGCATCTTCTGAATGAGCAAGGGCGCCCCATCCTGGGTTGTTCCCTGCCTTGCAACCATAGGCTGTGGGATGGGCTCCGGACCCCCCCGTAACCTTGAATAAGATGAGCACAGAGGTGGAGATTTTAAGTCCAGAGAGTACAAATCTGGACCAAGATTTTGTTTCAATCAACCAGTTAAGTATAAAGAGTGACAGTCACAGAGTACTCAACTGGTTGATTGAAACAAAATCGTCTTCTGGATTTGTACTTTCTGGACCTGAAATCTCCACCTATGGATAAGCGGTTACAGTTATTGGATGAATCAATGAGTAAGTTCATCTTTCTATATGATATTATTGTTTTTTTTGTCCAGAGGTGTTAATTGTGTGCTGCGTGTCCCATTCCTCTCGAATTGCACTGCCAAAGCCAGGAAGTCGGTTCTTAAAGGAGAAGAAATCTGAGGCAAGGTTCTTTGGTCTTTTGCGAGCTTCTGCTGTGAATCTGATGAAAGCAGTCGTACAAACAGATGTTCTCTGTCCCAGTACCACGGTATTCTGCATTATTCAGACTGAATACTTGCTAACACATTAGAAAAGCACCTGGAATATATCCTGTTTTTTTGTCATTCTCACTGTGAAAAAGCAGAATGGTAATTTTGCATGGTGAGATTACTTTCATGGCCAGACCAATGCATTTACTTCCCATAACCCACAGCCGTTTCTGCTAACAAGCAGGCTGACTGTGTTTAAAATTATTATTATTTTGTCACACGCTGGATAGCAGGCAGTGGTTCTTATGAAAGCCGTGATACCGCTCGTTCATCATCTTCTGTTTTCAGATGAAACAGCAGATTTCATAAAAGCCATAAAATAAAATAATGAGTTTGCTTGAAGCTCACGTCTTCCTGACAATGGAACGCATGTGGCCCTTAGCCGGGTCGTTGCCGCGGTGACGTCCAAAGGCCCTTTGAACATAACAGCCGTGTATGATTGCCTGTGATAATTTGTTCAGTATCGCCCCCCTCTCCCCCCCCCCCCATTCAAAGATTCAATTCCTCAGCTGGGCATCTTCTTAACTTTGAGTTTGTTTTCTTTTTTGCATTCACACATGAAGTGATGGCGATACTAATCTTCTCCATGGGTTCTGGTCAGAGGTCTATCAACACATGTACATCATGCTTTTCCTCGTCGGGGAGATTTATTCATCTGAATTATCATGCCTACAGCCTGTCTGTTGCTGTTACTCCTAGACGCTAGTTATTATTTAAAGCAGGCTTGTATCTCTTACTCGAAACACCGTTAATCATGACTTATTTAGAGGTCATTGCTGTGTGTCAAGGTCGTCTTGGGCAGTAGGGACTCTGAGACGCTTCCTGCCGCAGCCAGCAGGGTAGCTGATTCGTGATGGTTACATGCGGCGTTCTGTCAAGCTCGTGCCCTCCCCCCCCCACAGTGTGAGACTGTCCTGAGAGTGAGTAATGTCTCCGTGAGCCTGATTCCTCCTGTGCGTCTGCGCAGTCTGTTTGCAGTTGGGTTATAATGCAGCTGGCTGTTGGCACGACCGTTCGAGTCGGCCCAGGGCTCGGATGAGATGCCGGATTTCGGCAGAGGCGCCCACACCTGCCAGGGAGTGAGCATTCAGCTGCCGCGATATAAAAAGAAGGCGGCGATTGCGGTCCCATGAGGAGACGGGCCGGCGCATTGCCAGCCGCTATCAGATCCGAACCTGCTTCTCTCTTACTGATACAGTCTCTAATCTGGGCTCCTTTTGGGACGTGACAAAAATACTGCTGGTGGCCTCAAGGTGGCGTATGATGAGTCAGAAACATTTCCGATGGCAGCAAACCCATCTTAACCCTTTAAGGCTTACTCCTCCTCTAAACAGAACATGGTGGACAGACAGGTTTCCCATAAAGGTGGGGGCTGCGTCTGGCTTAGTGGGTTAGAACTTGTATGTATGCTTGTAATTGGAAGGTTGTTGGCTCAAGTCCCAGAGACGGTAAAGTGATTTCACCATTGGGTTCCTGAGCAAGACCCTTAACCCCAAGGGCATAGCTTTGGGTTGAGCATTGGGGGGGGGCAGGGTTTGGGGGTTGAGGTCTCCTCCCATTTAAGGTTGTCCAGGAGGTTGTATTGGCCGGTTTTGTATATTGGGGGGGGGGGTTGTCAAACTGCAGTCCTGGGGGGCCGGAGCCCAGCACATTTTTAACACACCTGATCCGGGTCCTTGTGCTAATTACCACAGAGCTCTTGACCTGAATCATTTGTGGTGGAACCGGGAAAGAACTTTAGCTATACAGGGCTCTGCCCCCCCCCCAGGACTGGAGCTTGACACCCCCGGTCTAACCCCTCAATTGCATGGTACTTTCGATAAAAGCTCCTGCTCAATGAATGAATGGTACCTGACTCGTACATTCTGCCTTCTAGGGTATCACCACAGCCTCCCATCGTCACCTTACTCCGCCGGCCCCGGGGGTCAAAGGTTACCTCCCCTCGGCACCCTGTCATCCGAGTTCCTGAACCAGGTGCCCTCTGTGAAGGTCGTCCTGCTGGTGTGTAACGCTGCCGGCGTGGGTCAGCAGGCTGTCAGGTAACTGCAGGGCGGCAGGTAACTGCAGGGCGGCAGGTAACTGCAGGGCGGCAGGTAACTGCAGGCTGTCAG